GCGCTGTGGCTCAAGTGGTAGAGCGCTAGCCTTGAGCTGAAGAGCTGAGGGACAGCGCCCAGGCCCAGAGTTCAGGCCCCACGACTGGACCACGCCCCCCCCCCAAAAAAGGTGAAAGATTTCTTTTCTTTTCTACTATTTGTAGTATCAACACTTAAATATTTAGAACCATTACAAATTTAGAGTAACTTTCTTCCAAATTTATCATCATTTATCATCACAAAAACTTACTTTAATACTTGTGAACATAATGGCACAATAACATTTTAAAGCACAACAATCAAAGAATGCCATATAAACTTACTTTGAAAAAATTAAAACCACTTACACATACTGTAATGAAAAAGATATAGCCTTACGAGCTAGGGACTGTTAGAAATAAATTCTATAGTATACCCATACAATTGCTCAGGTAAGATCATTTAATTTAGTAAGTTTCTTTACAAAATTACTTCTCAATAATGCTTAAGAGAACAAGACAACTCTCTAGTGTGGTTGTGGTTGTGGTGGTGGTGGTGGTGGTAGCGGTAGTGGTGATGTCTGGTTTCTTTTTTGTTGTTTGGGTTTTTCTTTTTTGGTTTTTGCTATGCATTGCCATCCTGTAATATCATGATGCTACTTCTGAATACCTGAAGGAACAAAAGAAGCTCCATAGTCAGCCATTTTGAGCAGATTGCCAACTCAAAAAATAGCTTTGGCTAGGCGCCAGTAGCTCAAACCTGTAATCCTAGCTATTCAGGAGGCTGAGCTCTGAGGATCTTGGTTCAAAGACAGCCCATGCAGGAAAGTCCATGAGACTCGTATGTCCAATTAACACCAGAAAACTGGAAGTGGTGCTGTGGCTCAACTGGTAGAGTGCTATCCTTAAGCTGAAGATCTCAGGGACAGTGCCCAGGCCCTGAGTTCAAGCCCCACAACTGACCAAAAAAAGCTCTGGTGTATAAATTCTTTTAAAGATAAATGCTAGGCAAAGAGGTATAGCTCAGTGGTAAAGTTATACTTGCCTAAGATGTGCAATTTCAGCATTAATAGTAATAGTAAAAATAATTAGTTCAAAAGACTAATAATTGTAAAGTTGTGTGAAATAAGCATAAATTCTTGTCAAAGATATCAAAATCATCATTGGCAAATCTCGAGGTATGTTTCAACTTAGGGTTTTGTTTCTGAGGTTTTCACATGTGTTTTAAGTCACTTTTTATTCTGTACTTCACATACCCTCTCATCAAGAACACATGTGTTGTAAAGCTAGATGTGATAGTATATGCTATATTCCCAGCAATGCAGGAAGCCACAGGGAAGAGGAACATAGTTGAGGCCCAGGCAGAAAACTTGAGACCCTATCTGAAAAATAACTAAAATGGGAGCCAGGCGCAAGTGGCTCACGTATATAATCCTATTCAGGAGGCTCCTGAGCACGAAGTGGCTTTGGGACAGCACCGAGGCCCTGTTTCAAGCTCCAGTACTGGCAAAAAACAAATGGGGAGGGGACATGGCTCAAGTGGTAAAGCACGTGCCTAGCAACATCAGGTGCCCTAAGACTAAACCTCAGCATTTAAGGGGAAATTATTTAGTTAAGTGAATCTACATTACCAAATAAAATCATGAAGATTTGATTTCATTTCATTATTATTATTATTATTTATAGTCAGTTGTAGGGCTTGAACTCTGGGCTTAGGCACTGTCCCTGTGCTCTTCAGCTCAAGGCGAGCACTCTACAGCTTGAGCTATAGTGCCACTTCCCTTTTTCTAGTGGTTTTTTGGAGATAAGAGTCTCACAGACTTTCCTGCCCAGGCTGGCTTTGAACCGTGATCCTCAGATCTCATCCTGAGTAGCTAGGATTACAGGTGTGAGCCACCAGTGCCTGGCTTCCTTTGTTAATTTTTAAAAGATATTTCTGGTAAAAACATAAAAATGACACATAAAACCACAATTACTAAACTCAAATAGTTAAACTTCTTCATTTTAACAGCTATGATTTTAGTAAGCTAAAGAACAAAGTCTTATAAAAGCTAAAAAAATCATTACGCAAGTAATTACTCAGGCTCATCTCCAATTAACTATCAAAAAGTTGGAAGTGGAGACATGGCTGAAGTATACCAGTCTTAAATGAAAAAGCCAAGGGAGACACATAAAGACCTGAGTTCAAGTGACAGTTGCCAGCAGGCACACATGGGTGCACACACACACACTATTATACAGAAACAGCACAATTATTTTTTCCAGTTGAATGGACAAAATTTTTTTAAAAATTATTTTTTTGGCGTCGGTCGTGGGGCTTGAACTGTGGGTTTGGGCGCTGTCCCTGCACTCTTCAGCTCAAGGCAAGCCCTTGAGCCGCAGCACCACTTCCTGTTTTTGAGTGGCTTATTGGAGATAAGAGTCTCATGGACTTTCCTGCCTGGGCTGGCTTTGAACAGTGATCCTCAGATCTCAGCCTCCTGAGTAGCTAGGATTAGAGGCATGAGCCACCAGCGCACAGCTTCGACGAAATCAAATTTTAAATTAAAAAATATTTCTTAGCCAGGTGCTAGTAGTTCAAACTAGCTACTGAGGAGGTTGAGATCTAAGGATCATGGTTCATAGCCAGCCAGGACAGGAAAAGTTCTTGAGACTCTTTATCACCAATTAAGTACTGGAAAACCAGAAGTGGAGCTGTGGTTCAAAGTGGTAGAACACTAACCTTGAGCAAAAGTATTCAGGGACAGTACCCAGGTCCTTAGTTTAAGCCCCATGACCAACCAAAAAAACCACACAGACAGACAGACAAAGACAGACAGAGAGAGAGAGAGAGAGAGAGAGAGAGAGAGAGAGAGAGAGAATATGCTAGCCTTGAGCTGAAGGACAGTGCCCAGGTCCAGAGTTCAAGCCCTATGACCAATAAAAAAAAAAGAAAGAAAAGAGAAAGGAAAAAAAAAAGAGTTGGAAATAATCCTCCACTTTATGCTCACCTAAGTGGTTAATACCTATCAACATGATTTACCATTTTTCCACACTTATTGTGAATGAGGAAATAGGGGAGATAAGGAAATGAGGATCCAGTTATCGTACATGTCCCTGACTTCTGGATACTACATTCAACCACAGTGTCTTAATTAATTAAATGGCGTTAATATCTGAAATTTCTAATAATGCCAGAAAAGATTAGGATGTGAGTACTAGATTATAAAGAAAAATAGTCTGGCTTTATAATTTTATCTAGAGCAGCATGCAAAATTACATAATAAGAGCAAACAAAGTTAACATCAAAAGATACCATAGGGGGCTGGGAAGGTGGCTCAATGGTAGAGCGCATGCCTTGCATGCCAGAGGTCCTGGGTTCGATTCCTCAGCACCACATAAGCAAAAAGAAAAAAGCCAGAAGTAGTGCTGTGGCTCAAGTGGTAGAGCGCTAGCCTTGAGCTGAAGAGCTGAGGGACAGCGCCCAGGCCCAGAGTTCAGGCCCCATGACTGGACCCAAAAACAAACAAACAAAAGATAGCTTAAAAAATTAAGTCAGCTGGGCACTGATGGTTCACACCTGTAATCCTACTCAGGAAGCTGAGGATCAAGATTTGAAGCCAGCCTGCTCAGAAAAGTCTGTGAGACTCTTTCTCCAATTAACCAACAGAAAACTAGAAGTGGAGCTGTGGCTCAAAATGGTAGTGCTAGCCTTGAGCAGAAAAGCTCAGGGATGTCACCCAGGCCCTGAGTTCAAGCCCTACCAACACCACCAACAACAACAACAAAAAAGTAATAAAAATGTATTGAAAAAAATTGGACTGTAATACAGCCATAAAAACTGAATGATGATTGCTTTATTCTCAAACTCAACTCATAAGTTTTGTCTTTACTTTGTCTGCCTATGAGCCAGTATGGAGTCCAATGCTCCAATACGAGTCAAGTAAGATAAAGGATTCTAAATGGATCATTATTCTATATGCAACTAGACATGAAATAAATCTTTTAAATTTATATTTGATTAAAAAAAATCAAATCTTGCAAGACATAACTTTAAAGAAAAATAATCTAGATGCTAACAGCTGAAAACTAGGTAAACATACCTGGTAAAGTAAGGCAGATGAGGCTGGCAATCAGTAACGTTATGCACATGAAGACAATCAACAGAAATATCTGCAAGGTAAAAATAACAAAGACATGGTTCATATGTCCTCAATGTAGTTAATGACAGCCCTTAAAGAAACAACACAATTTTCTTATTAAAAAGAAACTGTCAGCCATTCAACAGTGTTTCACACCTGTAATCCTAGCTATTCAGGGGGCTAAGACTTTTGGATTGTGCTTGAAAGCTGGCCTAGAAAGGAAAGTCTGTGAGACTCTTACCTCAAATTAACCACCAAAACAGCCACAAGTAGAGCTGTAACTCAAGTGGTAGAGACCAGCCTTGAGCAAAAAAGCTCAGGAACAGTACTCAGGCTCTGAGTTCAAGCCCCAGAACCAGCACAAAGGGGAGGAGGGACACTGTCACTGATGAGGTGGTATACTTCTAAAATCCCAATATTTAGGAGGCCAAAGGCAAACCGGTTTGGGCTTAAATGTAGCTAGAAACTGTCTTCAAAAACTAAAACAGACCAGAAAGACTAGAAGCGGAGAAGGGATAGAAGGAGGAAGAAAGGAAGGATTGTTTGTATTTGTATTTCTAAGGTTCTTTCAATTTCACATAAAAAGTACTTTAAGGGGCTGGGAACGTGGCTCAGTGGTAGAGCGCTTGCCTTGCATGCCTGAGGCTCTGGGTTCAATTCCTCAGCACCACATAAGCAAAAAGAAAAAGCCGTAAGTGGCACTGTGGCTCAAGTGGTAGAGCGCTAGCCTTGAGCTGAAGAGCTGAGGGACAGCGCCCAGGCCCACAGTTCAGGCCCCAAAACAGGACCCCCCCCCAAAAAAAAAATGAAGCTGGGCACCTACTAAAAAGACTGAGATCTGAAAATGGGATTCGAATCTAGTTTAGGCAGGAAAGTTCATGAGATTCTTATCTCCAATTAACCACCCACAATCTGGAAGTGGAAACGTGGCTCAGGTTGTAGAGTACAGTCATGAGCAAAAAAAAAAGCCTAAAAAGAGTTCAAGGCACTGAATTTAAGTCCCAGTACTGAGGGAGTGGGGAGTGTCAATGTGATCACACAGTACCTTTGTATATCATGGGGGAGAGGGAGGGAGCAGAGGAAAAAAGGGAGGAAGGGAAAGTGAGGGAGGGAAGACCAGAGAGAGAATGAGAATGAGAATGAGAAAGAGAGAAAGCAGGAAACATAATACAGTGCTGACTAGGGTACATGATGTTCAAAGCCCTTCACTCTGACTCACTAACTACCCAAGAGCCCCATCTTTCACTGTTCCCCTTGTATATACTCCACTCTCTATATTTGAATCTGTGGGTGCAAGCCTGCCAAGTCTAATGTGACTGTTCCTGGGATATGCTGCATCATAAAGGTAATAAAACATGAGTTTTTAGACATAGTTATACAACTTAATGCCAAAAGCATTAATTCTCAACAAATTAAAGGAAAACAATTCTGGCTAAGTCCATATAGTACCTACCCTGAGTGGAAAATGTAAAGGCCGGCGGTAAGGCTGAAAGCCAACGGGACCGCCCTGCTGGAGTATGGCTTGGTGGGCTGCATGCAGGCCTTCCCCAACCACAGGAATAGCATTATTTCGAGCATGCTGGTTATTGTTAACTTGTTGGTTTGCACTGTTCTCATTTTCTTCCTGGTCTCCCAATAAATAGGAATGAAGATCCCTGTGCCAAAAAATTACATTAATGGAAAGTGTCACTTCAGGTCAGAATAAAAATAACAGACACAATACTTAAGTTTCTTCCTAAAAACTTTTAGAGCAACATAAAGAGGAAAGCAAAAAGGCAAGTTCGGAGGGGGAGCTCCTGGGAATCGTGGTGGCTACAACAGGAGGGGCAACACGTCACAGTGGGGTAATGGTGGAAGTGGTGGGTGGCCCTGTGCTTCCGGGCTGAGGTGGCTACTCAAATAGACAGAATTACAAGAGAGATGGAATGCCCAACAGAGGGAACTAAACTAGAATTTCAGTGGACAAGGAAACGATCATGGTTAGAAAAATCAATCTGAGGACTGCAACCAGTGGCAGCAGGGTCAGTTCTGAGGTCACAAGGCTAAGCAGGAGGATCACAAATTCAAAGTTAACTTGGACTTCATAGTGCTCTCAAGGCCAACGTGGGCAACTTAATAAGACTTTGTCTCAAAACAAATATTGGAACAGTGCTGGAGATGTAGATGAATGTTCTGGCTTCAAACCCTAGTACCAGAGAAAGGAGGAGTGTGGGAGAGAAAGAGAGGAAGGACACAAGTGGCATGCACGTCTAGGGAGTTGGCTGCCCATACTCACAGCAAGTATCCAGCAGTAACAGTCCACGCTCGCACAAGCCCCTTCAGCCACTGCCTCGTATGTCCTTGCTCCAGTAACGCGGGCAAGACAACCTGAAGCAGAAGCAGCTCAAGGGACAGTTCACTCACTGGAGCATCACTAAGACAATTACAAAAAGCCATGAATTATTATGAATTCTATCTTCCATTATAACTAGAATATTCCAAATATTTAATGAGATTTAAAAAATAAAAGTCAAATGAACTCAGTTTCTCCTTACATCCTCCATTTTCTCTCCAACTCACTATGGCTTTACCCAGAAATCCCACTAAATTTCTTCCTGGTAAGAGTTGCCAATGCCCTCTATATTGCTAAACTGAGGCTCAGGTTTGGCGCTTTGTTGTACTAGTAGCATACTTATATATGCATATATGTATCTATAATATACACTAATATCTAACACACACACACACACACACACACACACACACACACACACACACACACCATCTCTCCTCATAACACTTTCTCCCTGAACATCTTCCAAGATGAATTTGTTCCCCTTCATCTTCCCAATCTGGGAACAATGAAGGGCTCAAGCTTTGTCCTCTCTCAAGCTTGCTCTCTGTGTAAATTTGACCTTGAAATATCACCTTGATATTTCCATCTACTACTGAGCAATCTTCCCTAACTCCTTTTTTTTCCCTCTTTTTCTTTGTTGGTCGTGGGGCCTGAACTCTAGGCCTGGGCGCTGTCCCTCATCTCTTCAACTCAAGGCTAGAGGTCTACCACTTGAGCCATATACTAGACAACTTCAAATGACCATGCTCAGTATCCAATTTCCCATTTTTTTCCCCTTTACTTCTGCTTATCCCAAAGTGTGGTTCATCTCAGGAAATGCATCCTCATCCTTCCAACTTTTTTTTTTTTTCCTTTTTTGCCGGTCATGGGGCCTGAACTCTGGGTCTGGGCGCTGTCCCTCAGCTCTTCAGCTCAAGACTAGCGCTCTACCACTGGAGCCACAGCACCACTTCCGGCTTTTTCTGTTTATGTGGTGCTGAGGAATCGAACTCAGGGCCTCATGCTTGCAAGGCATGTACTCTACCGCTGAGCCACCTTCCCAGCCCTCCTTCCAACTTTTGATCCTTGTCTCCTCCTTTATACCTTACGTTTAAACAGCTAGAATCCTAATGACTGTTCCTTAATGCCATCCTAAATCTTAGTTTCTTCCTGGCCTCCACTGCTACTCCTCCAGCTCTGCCAGCCTCACCCACTTCCTACCATGATCACTGTGTTGTCCTCCTACCACAGAACTGATGATACTGATTATATCTCTTTCCATCTCAGCAGTCAGTGATAATCTTAGTTGTACACAGGCATTGTGACTCACCAAGGTAAGGTGTGGTTGCCTATCCAAGGCCCTCCAGGAGCTGGCTTCCATGACCTCCCTCATTTCAAGACCAACTCCCTAATTTCCCCCCTTCTTCACAGACAAAATTCCTTCCCTGCTGTTCCTCAGACACAGATGCTGTTATCCTTGCCTGACAACCTGCAAGGACACTCTGCCATCAGGGATGCATCTGACTATTCTCTCTCTCTCTCTTTCCCTAGTATACTTTTTCCCTGCAGTACTTATAATCATTGGGAAATTATATATTCATTTAATCTGTTTTAAAGTTTGTCTTCCTGCCACACATGTAACAATATCCACAAGAGCAGAGATGTTTCTTCTTTTGTGTATGCCAGTACTTGAACTCACGGCCTGGGTGCTGTCCCTGAGCTTTCTGTTCAAATCTAGAGCTCTATGACCTGAGCCACAGCTTCCTTTTTTGGGGGGGTCCGGTTGTGGGACCTGAACTCTGGGCCTGGGCGCTGTCCCTCAGCTCTTCAGCTCAAGACTAGCGCTCTATCACTTGAGCCACAGCACCACTTCCGGCTTTTTTTCTTTTTGCTTATGTGGTGCTGGGGAATCGAACCCAGGGCCTCAAGCGCTCTACCACTGAGCCACCTTCCAATTTTGGTTGGTTAATTGGAGATAAAAGAGTCTCACAGACTTCCTGACCAGACTGGCTTCAAACAGTAATACTCAGATCCCAGCCTTCTGAGGAGCTAGGATTACAGATGTGAGCCACTGATGCCGAGCTGAGGGATTTCTTGATTCTTGTTTTGTTCACTGTATCCAGCACATATTTTGAACCCTAAATTCTAATACTTAGAATAAAAAAGAGCTTTGTAAACTTTAAGGTATAACCCACTTATCCCAATGGGTTTACCCCAATAGTACATAAAGCCAGATTATTTATTTATTTATTTTATTTATTGTCTGTCATGGGGCTTAAACTACGGGCCTGGGCACTCCCTCAATTCTTCAATTCAAGGCTAGCGTAGAGCTAGATTTTTGTTTCCTGGATCTCATACTATTTAGCAAGTGAAAAATGAGAGAATTAACCTCTAAATTGACAAAAGTCCTAACGTTATATATATATGAAAAATATCTATTTCAAGAGTAATTGTTTCAAAAGTAAAAGACATGTTCCATTTTGAATGAGTCCCTAGTATTTTTCTGCCATTAAAAAAAAATCAAGACACAAATCTAATTAAAAGTTCTAATTTAATGAATACAAATCTGAGATTTTACTGCATATGCAACAATAAACCTTTTGTTTTTGAACAATTATGGTCCTGCTATAAGACATTAAGATCCAAATAAATTATTTCTTTTATCCTGGATAAAACAATAAATATTTTTAATATAATGAATGCTATAAAAAGAGTTAGGTTTAACAATGGAGACAGTTTTTGAAGGATAAAATTATGATTTGTTCTGGTTAGGGGAAATAAAACCTTAACTGGATTTTTGAGCGAAAACAAAAGTTTAGCAAGCAAATATAAATAAAAGACAAAGGAACAGTGAAAAACTCAGCAGCAGTATGACACGGCTACGAAACAAAGTCCATATAAGACAATGCTGGACTTGGGGCTGGAAAGGTGGCTTAGTGGTAGAACGCTTGCCTTGCATGACTGAGGCACTGGGTTTGATTCCGCAGCACTACATAAGCAAAAAGGAAAAAGCCGGAAGCGGTGCTGTGGCTCAAGTGGTAGAGTGCCAGCCTTGAGCTGAAGAGCTGAGGGACAGCACCCAGGCCCAAAGTTCAGGCTCCACGACTGGACCCAAGACAATGCTGGACAATATGCTAATAGGCAGTGTTATAACATGTTATAACATGTCTACTGATCTAGATAATATCATATATAGTACACAGAAACTGCTTATAATTAAACAGAGGAGTAACATAATCAAATATTTAGATAAGCTAGCAGCAGCAGTGTTGGAAATAGCTTGTAAGCAGAGAACAAAAAAGGGGCTTAAGTAAGAGGTATATCAAATGGATCAGTAAGAGATCTTCATATCAGAACTGACAATACTTAAAAAGATGTATAGAAGTAAATTTGAGGAAGCAAGCCCCCTGTGTTCACTAGGGATGATACTATGGGACAGTATAAACCACTAAAAAGTGATATAAGGAAGAGGTGTACAGATTAGGCCACAGGTAAATTAAAATTAAACCTTACATCCTGTTTTCTTAATTGGTATATATTATACACAGACGTTTCATCATAACATCTACACATAATATACTTTGATCATATTCACACACTCTATTATCCCTCCTTTACTCCTATATCCTATTCTTAATCCATAATTAAATGTGCACCTTTGGCTTCATTACTTATGGTATGCGTTTCAATGATGCTATTAATATACTCCCATGAAGTGGTAAAACACTCCAATGCTAAACAAATACACACTATATGCACAAAAACTAGCAAACTAATATTCATGTGATCTACAATATGACAAGATATAACTGTGAGATGATTTCTAAAATCTGTAAGAAATGTATATTTATTTTAAATGTTTGCTGTAATCGAGTATTAAATCCTTTAAATCCTACCAGTGATAAGTAAAGCTTTCTAACTTTTCAAGACTTCCATGTAGGGATGCAGGCACAGTTGCCGTAACATACATGAACCCTAATTCCCAGAACCACAAAAAATTAAAAACAAAACTTACCTATAGAGCATGACATTGTAGGGAAGAAAATTAGGCAGTAGACTCTTAATTATGCGTATAGGAAGCCAAAGCATCAGGAGTACAATGGAGCCAAAGACAATCTGCAGAAAGAAATGACACAGCCCCACTGTAAGTACTTGTCACTCCCATGAAGAAAAGTGGGCTTCCAAACATATGCAACCAAGTCCAAGCCGGTGTCACTCAAAACTGGAGTGATCCTCCCCTGTACAAGAAATCCTTGGGTCACAGTGTGTAAAACTGTATGCTGAAGATGGCTACTCTCCTCGATGGAAGAGTTTGTCTTGCTCTCTAGTCACAAGAACTAAAATAAGAACCACGGGGTAATCAATGAACAGTGTGTACTTCTCTCTTACAAGAGAGAAGTACAACTCATTACAACTAAATAAATTACCTGTAACCATGTAAGACATGACCTATATTAAAGGCTATAAAAATTCCCAAAAGGGCTAAAGGGGTAGCTTAGGTAGAGCACCTGATTAGCAGCACACAAGGGGGGGTTAAATTTCCAGCACTGACATCAAATCAATCATTAAGTTTACAAAGGAAACAATTGTATTTTGGAAAAACTTAAGATTTAACTAGCAATTCTTTCTTCCAGTTGGGGTAGAGTTTTTAGTTTCTTTCAATAGAGGCTTATTTTTTATTGATTTTCCCACCTTAGTCCCTTTTGCTTTTTTGAGACAAAGTCTTGCTATATATAACCCAGTCTGGCTTCAAATTCACATTCCTCCTGACTCTGCTTCCCAAGTACTGAGAACATGGGCATGCACCACCACATGTGACAACCTATTAATAGTTACTACTGCAAATTTAATGTAATATAGGCATCCACAATTTGACAAGTTATGGCAAATTCATAATTTGGCATTTTTGCTTTATTATTTATTTTTAAGAATATAAACAATAAGACAAATACTTGACAAACTCTTCAAAAGCTTAGATATGTTATTCAATATGCTGTCCTCCTGATCTAAAAAATATTCCCCCAAAACAAAAAATATACATAAATAAAAATAACCATATATGTGAAAATTTTTAATTTGAAGATTTACTCACCACTGACAAAATAAATCTTCGGAGATGTCTATAAATAGGTAAGTGGATCATTTCTTGTACTGGGTTAAAATCTGGATCATTCAAATTCCTTAGAAACCACAAAACACCAGGTCGAAGTACCTGAAAATATATTTTGTTATAAATATTCAGTAATATCTTCAGGCTCTGTACATGAGCTATAACATTAACAGAAAATTATTCTGGCATCTAAAATGAGCCCCAGAAAATTCATGAGGAAAAAGAAAGTCCTAACTAGAACCTCTAAGAAAACTGCTCTGTTTGATGTTTATAAGTGATTCATTGGGTCTAACTTATAAAGAAATATAAGTTGGGAAATACAGCCATTACTAGTACTATTATTTTATCACCTCATGTATCAAATACAACCACTAGTAATTATTCATACATACTATTACTTTTTACTATTGTGTTGAATTCATACAACTATTAGTACTATTACTGTAGCACCTAATGTTATTGTATTAAGTACATACAACCATTAATACATACTATTACTTATCACCTAGCAATACTATTGTGTTGAATACATACAACCATTAGTTCATATTGTTATTATACCACCTAGTAATATTATTGTATCAAATACAACTGTTAGTATTACTGTAGTAATTGTATTACTTGGCAATTTATAAATGTCCACATAAGATCTGATTTCAGTCTTATGCTTCCCCAAAAGAGTTATCTTAAAGCTGGGCGCTGGTGGCTCATGCCTGTAATCCTAGCTACTCAGGAGGCTGAGATCTGAGGATCGCCATTCAAAGCCAGCCGGGGCAGGAAAGTCCGTGAGACTCTTATCTCCAATAAACCACTAGAAAACCAGAAGTAGCGCTGTGGCTCAAGCGATACAGCACTCGCCTTGAGCTGAAGAGCTGAGGGACAGTGACCAAGCCCAGACTTCAAGCCCCAGGACCGACCAAAAAAAAAAAAAAAAGTTATCTTAATTAAGAAACACTATATACTCTGTCTTTATTTCATTCCCTACATCCTCTTCCCCTTCTAAATGGGAAATCATCACACAAGAACTGTATGGGAGTTAATGGTAATAAGTAATAAGTGAGTCTGGGTTCTAGCCTGTCAAGATTCAAGTAATTCTAGAATATACCTTGTATAAAGTATCTAATTTGCCCAAAATCTCTATTTCTCCAACTAAAAGAGGTTACAAGCCGGGTGCTGGTGGCTCACGCCTGTAATCCTAGCTACTCAGGAGGCTGAGATCTGAGGATCGCGGTTCAAAGCCACCCCGGGCAGGAGAGACCGTGAGACTCCTATCTCCAATAAACCACCAGAAAACCGGAAGTGGCGCTGAAGCTCAAGTGGTAGAGCGCTTGCCTTGAGCTGAAGAGCTGAGGGACAGCACCCAGGCCCAGAGTTCAAGCCCCACGACTGACAAAAAAAAAAGAGGTTACAATATATGACCTATAAAGTTTTTGTCCCCATGGGGGGTGGGTGGGGAGGGCAGAAGGTAGAGTAGTACTAGGGTTTCAGCTTAGGTCCTTGCATGTGCTAGGCCGGCAGTCTAGCACTGAGTCATACCCTCACATAGGTTCTCTAAGGCTTAACTCTAGGACTTTTTTTTTTTTAATTGGTTTTGGGGCTTTAACTTGGGGCCTGAGAGTAGTCCCTGAGCATTTTTGCTCAAGGCTAGTGTTCTACTACTTTGAGCCACAGCTCCAACTCCAGTTTTTAGATGCTTAACTAGAAATAAGAGTCTCTCAGCCTTTCCTGCCCAAGCTGGCTTTGAACTGAGATACTCAGATCTCAGTCTCCTGAACAGAGATTATAAGTGAGAATCATCAGTGTCCAGCTAATATTAGGATTCTTTACCAACAAAATTCTATCACACTAACAAAATTTAAAATTCATCATAAAACATTGTATCTTACCACTTAACAATATAATTTAAGAGTTCATGGGGGGCAGGGGAGGCTGGGAAGGGATGGAAAGGGGAAACAAAGGAGAAGGCTACAATGCTTGATAAGAAATGTACTCATTATCTTGCCCATATAATTGTAACCCCTCTGTACAGTATTTTCACAATAAAAAATAATTAAAAAAAAAAGAGTTCAGACAATTGTAGTTTTGAAAAACTCATTAGAGGAGGTTGGGGATCTGAGCCCAAGGGAAAAATACTTGCCTAGCAAGTGCAAGGCCCTGAATTCAGTCCTCCCCACCACTGTATTTGTTGTTTAGTTCAATCACTTGTTTCAAAGAAAAGAATACAAGCTTCCATTGCATGATTTGCCTCTTCAAATCTTTCAAAGAGCAAAGTATACAGAAAACAGCATTCAGTCTTCATGATTTTTTTTTTTTTGGTCAGTTGTGGGGCCTGAACTCTGGGCCTGGGCACTGTCCCTCAGCTCAAGGCTAGCGCTCTACCACTTGAGCCACAGCGCCATTTTCTGTTTATGTGGTGCTGAGGAATAGAACCCAGGGCCTTATGCATGCAAGGCAAGTGCTCTACCACTGAGCCACCTTCCCAGCCCCAGCCTTCATGATTTTTGTATCCAATCCCCACTGTACATGTCAATTTGTTCCTTTAGCCCTGCACATCTTCATCACCAGTCTCAGTAGAATAAGCTGACTTGTTAATGTTCTTTCTTGTTCACACCCAAGAACTGAGAACTGAAAGTATGCCTATATTTCTCACTATTACCCCTGCATGTAAGACACAATCTGATACCGAGTTTGTACTAATCTGCTTTCTCCATCTTCAAATCATTAAGACGCAGATTCTGAAAACTGCATTAGTAAAGGTACTGATGGCAAAAAAACTAGCATCATAGTGGATCTTTATACTGTAATTCTATACTCAAGGTACCTATTTGAAAACCATTCTACATGTTCCATTCTTAAGTCCTTATCCTTTGGGATTATTTCCAGTATATCTCCTTTAATCTTAGTCCACAAACTTAAGAGTTTACATTATAGAGTAAGTAAGATAGGCACAAGATAAATTACTTTCTCAATCTAATCATCTTTAAAATGTTCACCTTGACAACATATTTATTTTTTGGTGCCGACCTCTGTACTTGAACTCAGAGCCTGTGTACTGTCCCTGAGCTTTATTTGCTCAAGGCTAGTGCTCCACCACTTGAGCTACAGTTCTATTTCTAGCTTTTGGTAGTTAATTGGAGATTTGGACCTCACAAACTTTACTGCCTGGGCTGGCTTTGAATGGCAATCCTCTCAGATCTCAGCTTAAGTAACTAGGATTACAGGCATGAGCCACAAGTGCCCAGCTTACATTGACAAGTTTTTGACACAAACATCTGAAAATAGTTCAAAACAACCAAGCTAAGTTCCATTACTACAAACTATGTTAGGAAACCATTATAGCCTTTAAGCATGACTGATCGGCAAAGAAAAACTTCCTTTTCAAAAGCATGTAGTGTCAGCATTTCCCTGCTGAACTTACCTCTCTCAGTAACAAAATGAAGGAGGCAAAGTAGAACACATACACCATCCCGACTAGCCAATGTAGAAACATCGTAGTCCCTGGAGCTGACTGAAAACTCAGTTCTCGATCTTTTAAAGTAGCATCAAACATTTCCTAAGCCAAAAGTGAACAGGTAAGATTCGTACTACCTTACATTTGCCTAAGTAATATTTCCACCTTCCAAGAACTATATTTCCACCTTCCAAGAACTAAAGAATCTACACGAGGTGCAACTTTCTCAAAGTGCAGAGTTTACTGCCATTTACATGTATACAACATTTTAAAATTTTCAACATAAAGAATGACAAACCAATCAGTATACAACAGTTTTACTAATACTGTTATTGTTAATTTTTTTTAAGCTTATTTTCTGATAGTACTGGGGTTTAAACTCAGGGCCTCAGGCTTTGTTAAGCAGGCACTCTACCACTAAGCCATGCTTCCAGCTCTTTCTTACACTTGTGTTTTGTCTTTACTGTACCAGGGCCTGGATACTGTCCCTGAGGTTTTTTGCTCAAGGCTGGTGCTTTACCATTTGACTCACAGCTCCACTTCCAGCTTTTTGGTGATTAACTGGAGGTAAGAGTCTCACAGACTTTCCTGTGTGGGCTAGCTTTGAACCATGATCCTCAGATCTCTGCCTCCTGAGTAGCTGAGAATATAGGTATGAGCCACCAGCACGTAGGTGCACTGGCTCTTTCTGAGACAACATCTGGCTTCCTGCTTAGGTGCTCACCTGGATCTGGACCATCTATTTTCAGCTTTCTGTTGTAGATGAGAAGACAGGCATATGCCACCATGTGGCACTTCCTGCCACTGACATAGTCTTGTGGACTTTTGTGTATGGGCTGTCTTGGAGCCACAATCTCAGTCTCCTACATGGGAGGTAAGGCACATGCTACCTTATATAGCTGTTGGCTGTTAAAAAGTTCACTATATATGTCTGGGCTGATCTTGAATTGCAATCCCCCAAATCTCAGCCCCCTAGGTACGAGCCACAGGTACCCAGCTTTAAAAACTATTTTGAGCGGGGCACTGGTGGCTCACGCTTGTAATCCTAGCTACTCAGGGGGCTGAGTTCTGAGGATTGAGGTTTGAAGCCAGCCCGGGCAGGCAGTAAAGCCTGTGAGACTCTTATCTCCAATTAACACCCAGAAAACAGCAAGTGGCACTGTGGCTCAAAGTGGTAGAGCACTAAGCCTTGAGCAATGAAGCTCAGGGACAATACCCAGGCCCTGAGTTCAAGCCCCATGACTGACCAACAAAACAAAACAATTTTTGATCAATATAGACGAAGGTCTGTATTCACAAGAAATTTTAACCAATAGTAAGGTGGAAGGTTAAATGTTAGTCTTAGAACCAAAGTTCTTCTATACACAACATATTTTTAATTATCACTAATAATCATTAAAGTTTAACATCTTAATGAAATAGCTAGTATTATCACAAAGTTAAGAGAGCAAATTGAGTAAGAAAATTTTCCAATGGTTGTTAAGATAGTTCCTATCCTAAGCATACGTGCAAAATCCAAAAAAAAAATCAAGTACAGAAAATTAGCCACTGAATATTCTACAGTGATATGACTCAAAAAATAAGCAAATTATCAAATGCAAGCATTCTAAATAGTTCCTCTTTTGAAAACTGAAATTATGAAATTATATGATAAAATAAACTCACCAAGGAACAGATATCCAGCCACCAGCCACAAATGAGAGGAAACACTCCAATTTCTACCACCACTAACAAAGAGACCTAAAGCAAAAATAAAGGTCAGAAATATCATCCAATGAGAGAAAGAAACAAAGAGAGAATCCATTTCCAGTTTTAACTTACAAATTACCTTAACAACAATATAGCAGACTCCTAGCAAGCGACGAGATCTATGAAATTTCACAAGCGTTGCCAAACCCTGCAGCACCTAGTCAAGGAAAAAGTGAACACTCAAGTGTACAAAGAAGCAGGAAATGATTTAAACTGAACTTAATACATCCAAGGATCAGAATTCATTTTCTGCACATTATGTACACACATACTCACAAAGACTTCAACTTTTACTAAGAGAACAAGGTGAAAGAAAACAACTTTGTTTTTAATGAGACCAACTCTTCCATATAAATATTACTATATCCCCAACTTGGTTCATTAAAGGATACATGACAAATTATCAGTGTTATTGCTAAGAGTATATATCCAACTATGGTTGTGATTAAGCCTTCAAAGTGAGATGCTTGAACCTGCAAATGAAACACAAAGAGATATAATTTAGCTTTACTACATGGCCTATACTCCAGTTTGTCACTGAATTAAACAATGTAGATGGCAAAAAGTAAAGTCTCTTAACAATATTTAACTAGAAAATACCTATAAAAATCCCCTTTGGGACAGGCACTAGTGGCTTATGCCTGAAATCCTAGAGCTACTCAGAAAGTGGAAATCTGAGGATCACGGTTCAAAGCCAGCCCAAGCAGGAAAAGTTCTTGAGACTCTTATTATCAATCAACAGAAAACCAGACTAGGTGCTAGGCTCAAAGTAGTAGAGGGCTAGCCTTGAACAAAAGAGTTCAGGGTTGGTGTCCAGGCTCTGAGTTCATCAATCAATCAAATCCCTTTTGGGCTGCCAAATGCTACTAAAGGATCAAGAAATATTACAGAATAATAGAAAGTGAAATTTGACAAAAAAAAAAAAAACCACTGGATTATAACTTGTGCTACTAGATCACTCTGAGGATTTGCTAAAGGCCAATTGCTAAACAATAGCATACCACCCAATTTGGCCAACCTACCCTATTTCCTATCTTAGAAGTAACTGCAAAACTCTTAGTGACACAGAATAGACTTTAGAGAACGACAAATATGGCCCATTTTATCTTTTTGTTCCAGATTCTCAAGAAGCAAATGGTAACAGTTTGTAAAGTCAAAATTTATCAAAACACTCATATGAACCTTTCAGGTTCTTGAATGTAATTCCTATATCCTAAGTGAACACAAGATCCAAGTCAGCTCTTCCTTAAAAGAGGTCTAAGACCCCTACAATAAACAGTAATCTAATAAGCTATCTACTTTAGAAATTAAGGACAGAAAACTTAAGCGAATTCTTTAAAAAACAAGATAGCCTATTATTCTAAGATATTGTATTCCCTTTTACAAACTGGTCAGTCAAACTGTTACCTCTTTAAATCCACTATGGGTCACCGGAGGCAGGGAGAGAAAGGAGCACTGGGTAGAAGAGGAGTCCACCACAGGAACACAGTACATTATGTTGTTGCACACATACCAGTTAGCTAGCAACAGGATTTAACTATCTCTGAAGCAACTGTTAGCTTTTTTTTTTTTGTCAGTCGTGGGGCTTGAACTCAGAGCCTGGGCGCTGTGCCTGAGCTCCTCAGCTCAAGGCAAGCATTCTACCACTTGACCCACAGCACCACTTCCAGTTTTCTGGTGGTTAACTGGAGATAAGCGTCTCACAGACTTTCCTGCCCAGGCTGGCTTCTGCTAGCCTTTTTTTTCCCTAAGAAAAGAAAATAAGCCCTCTGCACAGAGCAGACAGAAATAAAGTTAACTCCTCAGAATATTACTAGCTCAGAAAATAATAATTTGTGAATAACTGATGAAGGTAAGCTTGGTGAAAGTATTATACTCACATGTTCTTCAAATCCCAAACCAACAAGGGAGAAGTGACCAATATGATAAGGGCAAAATGCTAAAGGAAGGAAAAGACTCAGTAAGTCTAATAATCAAAACAGTAAGTACCTGTCTATTACAGCTTTGTTCACAATAGCTGAATGGTGTCCAACAACTGATGAATGGATAAAGAAAATATGATACACACCCAATGGAATATTACTTAGTCATAATGAAAAAAAATTATGTCATTTGTATACAAGTAGATGGAGTTGGAGACCATGTTGAACAAACTCAAAGAGCCAAATATTTTATATATTTAATTGGACTACTTTAATTATTTAGCTATAGCTAGGTTTTATATCTAAGCTATAACTAAGTGATAAAAAATAATTTTCCTTCTATATTAAATTTCAATTTGGCAATTTAAGTATAACTTTTCATTAGATAATGTATGAAACCCAATGTTGACAAGGTTACATGTAGAAAAAAGTAAATTTATATAAACATTTCGCCTGAGAAAAAATTCACCAAGTTTTCATTCATTTATAGACTTTATATATATATATATATATATATATATATATATATATACACACACACATAAGTACAAAACATTTTATACTATTTTCCTCAAGCTGGGCAAATTTTACTTTTTCAAGTAAATATAATTATTTTCAATTATGGTAACAGTAATTTAACCCCATAGCAGATCAGTGGAAAAGGGATGACTTCACCACTGGATCAGAAAGTCAGAGTGAATCTATTAGAAATCTGGTCTTTAAACCTCTATTGTACATTCCTTAATATTCCTAAATTATAAACAAAAACTTCTGACCAGACTTCTAGGAAATCAAACTTCTATTACAATACATAAGAAGTAAAAGCATAAACACATCTTACCAAAAACAAGAATGAACAGTGTATTTAAAGACACCACCCAGAAGACATGTTCCTAAAGGAAAAGAGAATAAGGCAAAATCCATTCACATTTGGTATGGTTAATTGGACTACTCTATTTATTTAGCTACAGTTAAGTGTTATAGCTAAACTTCAGATAAGTGTTAAAAATAATTTTCCCAGCCAGGTGTCAGTGGCTCACGCCTGTAATACTAGCTACTCAGGAGGCTGAGATCTGAGGATCGCAGTTCAAAGCCAGCCTGGCAGAAAAGTCTGTGAGACTCTTTACTCCAATAAACCACTGGAAAACTGGAAGTGGCGCTGTGGGCTCAAGCAGTAGAGCGCTCGCCTTGAGCTGAAGAGTGAAGGGACAGAGCCCAAGCCCAGCAGAGTTCAAGCCCCATGACTGACAAAAAAAAAATAATAACAATAATCATAATTTCTCCTCTTTGTTATATTTCAATTTGGCAATTTAGGTACAACTTTTCACTTTTTATCAGAAACTCAATGTTCACAATGTTACATGTAGAAAAAAAAATTTTTTTTTTGGTTGGTCGTGGGGCTTGAACGTTGGGCTTGGGCGCTATCCCTCAGTTCTTCAGCTCAAGGCGAGCACTTTACCAGTTGAGCCACAGTGCCACTTCTGGTTTCCTAGTGGTTTATTGGAGATAAGAGTCTCACGGACTTTCCTTGCCGGGGCTGGCTTTGAATTGTGATCCTACATCTTAGCCTCCTGAGTAGCTAGGATTACAGGGTGAGCCACTGGCGCCCAGCTGAAAAAATAAATTTTTATAAACATTTCCTTTTGAGAAATAATTCACCAAACTCTGGATTTTTTGTATTTTTTTAAAACTGGGGTTTGAACTCAGGATTTTCATACATTACATTTCATTTTAATTAAATAAGGCTGAAAAATGTCAAGGAGAAAAATCTGAAATCCACACAGATGCTGAACAACATATGAATGTAAACTGCAGTAACCATTCTGTTTCCATGACTTTGGAAAGGTCACTGTTGCTTGGCTCCTGCCCCTTGGAAAACTACCTGGCTCTTCTCTGTTCTGCTTCCTCTTTTCCTTAGGTACATGGGCTTGTTTTCTTCCTTTGGGAAACAGGTGGTACTGGAGTTTTGAATTCACACTCAAGTACCCTACCACTTTAAACACATCCTCAGAAACACATTCTCACTTGGCACCTAGTCCACTGGTGATATATTACCACCTTCAAGATGACTGTCCTTCTAACTATGTCATAAACACTTCAACCATGCTCCATGCTGACAATCACTAGAAACCTGATCATCTAGGCCTTTCTTCTTCCAGGAGGGATGACACAGTATAATTCTTTTTAAAAAAGATTACTCAGTTAGGTGCCATGGCTCACGCCTGTAATCCTAGTTACCATCTAAGGATGGTGGTTCAAAGCTAGCTCAAGCAGAAAAGTCCCTGTGAGACTCTTACTTCCAATTAACCACTCAAAAACTGGAAGTGGCAGTATAGTTCAAGTGATATAGTGCTAGTCTTGAGTCTCAGGGTCAGCACCCAGGCCCTGAGTTCAAGCCCCACACCAATTAAACAAAAAAGTAAAAATATTACTCTCTTTCCCTGTCTAATTATCCATAAATCCAACTGGAAGGGTGTCTAATACAAATAGCTGTTAAGCTTCCTACAAGGCAGTCTGGCAAATCAAGTGTTTGAGCTCCTGGGATTATTTGTACAGAAAAAAGCAGAGAAAAGAAAGTGTGGTTTAATGATGCCCCATTTACTAACAGCCCTCTGGCCAGTGATACAACCCACTTCCATTTGTCCCTAAGTGTCCTAAGTAAGAGGTCATTTAGGGAACACTGTGGTGATGTTAGCTAATTCACCTACAAAGCTAGGTGTATCCCAGACCCAGTGTAAGAAGAATATACAAACAAATGTAGCAGTCTCTTTTTTAAATGTATCTCCAGAAGCTGACCCTAGTTCACAATAATACTCAAAAAATATTCAGTAAACAAATTATTTTCTTAGTAAGCTTTCTCCTTTAGTCATCTCTATCTACCACACATACCCCCTCTTCATGCTGATGAGATGATACTGAAATGTCCTTCTGGAAGATGAGCTGTTAAGATACATCAAAACCTGAAGAAGTCGGGTGCCCATGGCTCACGCCTGTCATCCTAGCTACTCAGGAGGCTGAGATCTGAGGATCACAGTTCAAAGCCAGCCCAGGCAAGGAAAGTCCATGAGACTCATCTTCAATTAACCACCAGAAAACTGGAAGTGGTGCTGTGGCTCAAGTGGTAGAGCACTTGCCTTGAGCTGAAGAGCTCAGGGACAGTGCCCAGGCCCAGAGTTAAAGCTCCACAATCAACAACAACAACAAAAACCCTGTAGAATGTACACTTCATGTAACTAAGCATGGTAGCATGTGCCTATAATCCCAGTTATGCTTGAGTCCACTAACAGTCCCACAAACCTTGAGACACTATCCAAAAAGTAAATAAAACAAAAGGTTGGGAGTGTGGCTCAAACGTTAAGAGTGCTTGCCTAATGCCGGGCGCTGGTGGCTCATGCCTGTAATCCTAGCTACTCAGGAGGCTGAGATCTGAGGATCGCAGTTCAAAGCCAGCCCGGCAAGGAAAGTCCGTGAGACTCTTATCTCCAATAAACCACCAGAAAAGCTGGAAGTGGTGCTGTAGCTCAAGTGGTAGAGCGCTCGCCTTGAGCAGAAGAGCTGAGGGACAGCACCCAGGCCCAGAGTTCAAGCCCCACGACCAACCAAAAAAAAAAAAAAAAAAAAAAAAGAGTGCTTGCCTACCAAGAATAAAGCCCTAAATTCAAAACTCAGTATCACCAAGTAAAATAGTAACAACAGAAGTATAAAATGCCATGGTTATATAGAGAAAACAGAAAAAGTTGAAATGAATTGTATTAAGTTATAATTTATTCAAAGAATTCAAGTTTTAGACAAAAATGCTTCCTGGGGGTAGGTGGAGGGGAATCTAAAGGATTTTCAAACCCCACACAGCAAGCCGTTTTGTATTCTATCACCTGAACACCAGCATGTCGCCTTCAAGAACTGTTCCCTTAACATTGTAATCTTTATTCATAACAGAGCTCCTAGTTAACAACGACAGCAAGCTGAGGTCAGACTATGGTGCTCACTGTGAAAATATACAGGGCTGCTTTGTTCTCAGCAGCACAGGTATTAAATACTGCTAGACTGAACTTTAACGAAGACCAAGATATGTTAACTACCATTACCTGTGGACTTCATTTTCTTTCCTAAAAGTCAAGTATTTAATAATTTCCCTTTAAGCCAGACTCTGGTAATCCTAGCTACTCAGGAGGCTGAAATCTAAGGATCATAGTTCAAAGCCAGCCCAGGCAGGTAAGTCTGTGAGATTCTTCTCTCCAATTAACCACTAGAAATGGCTCAAAGTGGTAGAGCACTAGCCTTGAGTGAAAAATCTTTAGTGACAGCACCTAGGCCCTGAGTTCAAACTCGAGGACAGCAGTGTGTATGCATGCAAACAAAGAAACAAACCCTGTACACTTGAAGTTGCTGAACTAAATAACAAGGTCATAATTCTGTTTTTTAAAAAAATAAGTTTTAGGTGGGCACTGGTGGCTCACACCTGTAATCCTAGTTACTGAGGAGGCTGAGATCCAAGAATTCTGGTTCAAAGTTAGCCTGGGCAGGAAAGTCCAATGAGACTCTTTATTTCCAATTAATCACCAGAAAACTGGAAGCAGAGCTGTGGTTCAGAGTAGTAGAGTGCTAGCTTTGGGCAAAAGATCTTAGGGCTAGTCCCCAGGTCCTGAGTTCAAGCCCCATGACCAACAATAAAAAAAAAGTTTTACTTACCAGAAAAACCAGTGACCCATCAAGTCCCAGCATCTAAAATAATAGTAATAACACGCATTAAGTGAACCGCAGCAGGATTTTCTATTACAAAAAGGTTTATTTTTGTTTCAGTCTCTTTACACATGTCTCCACTACATTCCAATACTTATGATTTTCATAATAAAAAGTGTTACTACAATTTTACTGCTAAGGATCATTTATTCCAAATCTTTACAATTATTTACTTTGGTTCTATCTAGACTTTAATCTTCACATTAGAGAACCAGTACATGATAGAACTATATCATTATATGCGAAATATGAAAATATTAAAGTTAAATTGCGATTTAGTTTTCTAGAAGTTCACAATTTCAAGTAAAACACTACCCATACAGAGCAATGTTTGTACTAAAGACCAGAAGATAGAAAGACAACCATCTGTCATAAACAGAAACAATACATCATTTGATTTCTGTAAAGTTAAATTCCATTAACTATCTTCATCAAATATTAACTATGAAATTAGTGCACACAATGAAATATGCCCAACTTTAAAATACACTAGGACTAAATGCACCAAATGCACTGATTAAAACACATCTTACTCTTTCCCACGTAAGCTCCTCTGCAGCTCGGTCCCATTCTAAAGCATTCCAGTTCATGTCATCTAGAAATAAATTGTAGATTAAAGATTATTGATGAAAATTGAATAAATAACAGAACTCTTTCATTTACAAGCTAGCTTTTGGAAAGCTGAACTACCTTTTAAATTGTTATTAGCAGTATAGGGCTTGAACTCACATCAGGACTTGCTCCCACTTGGTGGCACAATACCATCTGGCACAATACCATTTGAGCCATACCTCTAACCCTTTTTTTTCCTGGTTAACCTGGCGATGAAGTCTCATAGACTTTTTTGCCTAAACTGGACTCGAATTTAGATCCTCTGGACCTCAGCCTCCTGAGTAGCTAGGATTATAGGCAGGAGCCACTGGGACCTGGCTCATATTTAAAATTTGTATACTGTTTCTTTATTAAGTAAATACTATGTATCAATATATATATATCTGTGTGTGTGTGTGTGTGTTTTGTGTGTATGGGTGTGTGATCCTAGACTGAAACAGGAATTCAGTAGCTCTGAGTCAGAAATTAATCTAATAGATTTGAGAAGAGTAAGGAAACCAGAGACTAGAACTTTCTGAATGATGTGGAGGATAAAAGTATAAAAGGCAAAGCTGGACAGGACGGCCGGTGTCTATATAATCCTAGCATAGAAGGACAAAGAGCTGAGACTAGCCTGGATTTCAAAGTGAGGTTATGCAAAATAGAAGGGTGGGAGTGGAGGAAGGAAAAGGTGGGGGGCGGGAATAGGGGCCAGAAGTGGTGATGGTGCATGTCTCGAATCCAAGCTAGTCAGAAGGTCTGAACAAAAGCAAGACTTTATCTTAATAAACAATAAAAGCAAAAGAAATAGTGGCGTGGCTCTAACGGTGGCCTAGCAAGCCCCTCCACTGGGAGGAAAAGTATGAAAGGCAGACAAATCTGTCTTTCACTTTTTCCTTTAACCTTTCTCTGCAAAGGTCTATTTCTTCTCATCCTTTAGGACTCAGCTCAAAAGTCACTTTCTCAAAAAATAATAAATGAATACTTATTCTGAGCTTGCTAGCAATCTGCATGCAAACTAGATCTCACCTGAGTTGTAGGTACAGAGTGACCTTTATCACCATGTACACATTCTAGTCTTCCCTAAGACTAGGACCCCCACACCAAGGCAGACACCTGCTGGTTTATATTTATTTATATACTTAAAAGTCTTAAGGAGGAGCTAGGCGCTACTGGCTCACGTCTGTAATCCTAGCTACTCAGGAGGCTGAAGATCGATCTGAGGATCGAGGTTCAAAGCCAACCTGGGCAGGAAAGTCCGTGACACTTTTATCTCCAATAAACTATAGAGAAAAACCAAAGTGGCACTGTGGCTCAAGCGCTCGCCTTAAGCTGAAGAGCTCAGGGACAACGCCCAGGCCCAGAGTTCAAGCCTATGACTGACAAAAAAAAAAAAAAGTCTTGAGGAGACAAAGAACAATGTCAAGTGAACTGATAGGCAGTGTAGCAATTGTTAGGAAAACTCTGTAGTGGTATGAGCAAAGGAGAGGCATGCGCTATTACTAACAGATTGGAAATTTAGTCTTGGACCTTATTTTACATTCTGGAGTTGACACTGCTAGAAAATGAAATAAGAAAAAAGGCCTTTGGGTAGCACCTGGCCTGCATACACTTCAAATATCAATTCTAGAGCTGTGAGGTATGAGAAGCTCTCAAGAAACCCAGGGCTCTTCCTAAGGTGGTACGCCCTCAAGGATAAGACCATAATGAGTGTCAAGGTTGTAAAGTCCAGCAGGGTGCCAGTGGCTAACACCTGTAATCCTAGATACTCAGGAGGCTGAGATCTGAGGATCCTGGTTGAAAACCAACACTGGAGGAAAGTCCATGAGACTCTTATCTCCAATTAACCATCAGAAAATCAGAAGCAGTGCTGTGGCTCTAAATGGAAGAGTGTTAGCCTTTAGCGAACTCTCCAGGTATGTTCAAACCCACGACCAAAAGAAAAAAAAGATTGTGGCTCAGTGGTAGAGCGCTTGCCTTGCATGCATGAAGCCCTGGGTTCGATTTCTCAGCACCACATAAGCAAAAAGAAAAAAGCCGGAAGTGGCACTGTAGCTCAAGTGGTAGAGCGCTAGCCTTGAGCTGAAGAGCTGAGGAACAGTGCCCAGGCCCAGAGTTCAGGCCCCACACCCCCCCACCCCACACACACAAAAAGATTGTGAAGTCCAAAAGCAAGAAGCCAGATGAGTTAAATTCAAGTCAAATATCATCATCTCTCAGTTGCTGCTCAAGATGAAGCTAAACTCAGAATTCAAGGCCCAGCTAGAGATTCTCAGCATCAAAGTAACAAAACTGATGTTGGTGATGGCTGGAAACGTGTGTGTGTGTGTGTGTGTGTGTGTGTGTGTGTTAAGAGTCTCATGGAGCCATGCCTGTGTGTGTGTGTGTGTGTTAAGAGTCTCAGAAACGTGTGTGTGTATGTGTGTATGTGTGTGTGTGTGTGTTAAGAGTCTCATGGAGCCATGCCTGTGTGTGTGTGTGTGTGTGTGTGTGTTAAGAGTCTCAGAAACGTGTGTGTGTGTTAAGAGTCTCATGGAGCCATGCCTGTAATCCTAACTACTCAGAAGGCTAAGATTTGAGGATTATGGTTCAAAGTTGAAGAGCTGAGGGACGTGCTCATCCAGGCCCAGAGTTCAAGCACGCACCATAACCAACCAAAAAACAAAGTCTCATGAACTTTCCTGCCCAGGCTGCTGGTTCTGAACTGTGATCCTCAGATCTCAGCTCCTGAATAGCTAGGATTACAGGCATGAGCCACTAGTGCCTTGTGTCCATGAGCTTTTTAAGACATCAGAAATACTTCACCCAGTACTCCAGGTTGTTCTGCTGGGTTTTGTTCAAATGAAGCTATAGGAGCTGGCTTTGCCCAGGTCCACACAGGTCCTCTCATCTACTTAGAAACCCCAAGTTATCAAGGATGGCATCTCTCACAGCTGGCAGAGTGGGGCTTCGAGATGCTTCTAGGTTTTGTTTTTTTTTTTTGAGCAAGAGACCCCATACTCCCAAGAACCTTTATTTTTTATTTTTTCCAATTTATGGCTCATAAAAAGAAGTTGTACTTAACTCCATGAAAATAGAAGCAATGAAGCAAGATAAACTTACACTTAATTTCTTCCCCCTAAAAAAGATCTATTCCTTTTTTAAAAATAATTTTCACTGGGTGCCTGTAGCTAACACCTGTAATCTGACTCAGGAACTGAGATCGAACGATTGCAGTTCCAAGAAGCCAGCCCGGGCAGGAAAGTCCATGAGACTCTTTTTTTTTTTTTTTTTTTGGGGGGGGGGGTCCGGTCGTGGGGCCTGAACTCTGGGCCTGGGCGCTGTCCCTCAGCTTTTCAGCTCAAGGCTAGTGCTCTACCACTTGAGCCACAGCGCCACTTCCGGCTTTTTTCTTTTTGCTAAGGGGGGCTGAGGAATCGAACCTAGGGCCTCAGGCATGCAAGGCGAGCGCTCTACCACTGAGCCAACTTCCCAGCCCTCCATGAGACTCTTATTTCCAATTAGCCTCTAGAAAACTGGAAGTGGAGCTGTAGCTCAAAGTGGTAGAATGCTAGCCTTGAGTTTATAAAGTTCAGGGACTGTGTTCAGGCCCTGAGTTCAAGCCCCACTACCACCACCACCACCACCAACAACAACAACAATAGCAATAGTTTTCTCTATCCATTCTATAAAGAGAACTGTAAAGCAAAATTTTCTGTACAACACAGAAAAAAAAAGACATACTTATTAGTGCTGGTATCTGTACATGCTATTTTGATAAAATAAAGCAAAACTCACTTTGAAATAGAACTTGAATACATTAAAATGCCAACCCTTAGGGTGAAGCATACAACAGCATTATACCTTGGGCTCCATTGTTAGCATCGGCAGCATCTTCCACACCTGCGTCATCCTCTTCCTCATTGTCTTCCTCCTCCTCTTCTGCCTGATCATCCTGCGCTTCTGGGTTCTCCCCAACCACTGCATTCTCAGCTGGTGGGTTAGCAGGCTGATCAGCAGCCACATTTTCTGCACCATTTCCTCCTGCTGGAGCCTATGACGAGAGAAGAGCCCAAAAATCTAGCTAACTTGTCTCACCTTTGCTCTATTTCACAATCTCCCTACTAGAAAAACAAAACTACTGAACACAAACCCCACTAGGATTCAAAAAATAAATACCTTTCAGAATCACTTTTGGATTTTTTAGTAAAGGTCATCTTTTCTAAATGTATTTGGTTTCAGATCACCTTGTTATATAAAAGCCTAAGCCCACATATGTTTAAAGTCCAAAGACCATTAGAGCAAGGGTGTCAGTAGCTCACGCCTGTAATCCTACTCAGGAGGCTGAGACATGAGGATCACAGTTCAAAGCTAGCCCAGCAGGAAAGTCAGTGAGACTCTCATCTCCACTAATCACCAGAAAATCAGAATGGCACTGTTGCTCAAAGTGGTAGAGTGCTAGCCTTGAGTGAAAGAGCTCAGGGACAGCGCCCAAACCGAGTTCAAGCCCTAAACCGATCAAAAAGAAAAAAAAAAAAAACTTTTCTATTTAGCAAAGCTGGAAGTGGAGGTGTGCCACTAGGCCTTGAGCAAAAAAGCTCAGGAACAGTGCCCAGGCCCTGAGTTCAAGCCCAGGGGAGACAGAGACAGACACATACAGACACAGACAAAAACACCTGTTTTTTTAAAAATTATAAACACACACACATACACATACACACACACACACACACCACAAAAAATAAAAACCTGTTTTCAAAAAAAAAATCTAGAGTGCGGGACCAGTATTCACACCTGTAATCCTAGCTAGTTAAGAGGCTGAGATATGAGAATTACAATTTGAAGCCAGCAGTCCATGAGACTTATCGCCAATTAAGCACAAAAAAGCCAGAAGTAGAGCTGTGGCTCAAGTGGTAGAGCACTAACCTTGAACAGAAAAAAAGCTCAGGGACAGTGCACAGGCCCTGAGTTCAAGACCCAAGACTAGAGCTGGGAAGTTGGCTCAGTGGTACAGTGCTTGCTTCGCATGCATGAGGCCCTGGTTTTGATTCTTCAGCAAAACATAAGCAGAAAAACGCTGGAAGTGGTGCTGTGGCTCAAGTGGTAGGGTGCTAGCCTTGAGCTAAAGAGCTGAGGAACAGAGCCCAGGCCCAGAGTCAGGCCCTATGACCGACCAAAAAGAAGACCCAAGATTGGCACACACACAAAAATTCTCCATCTAACTTGGGTGTGGTGCCCCAGCTCTGCAGGATCTGAAGATTCTGAGGGTTAAAGGTTGAGGTTAGGTCTAGAAAAAGTCAGTTAGACCTCATTTCAACTAACTATCTGAGGTGGTAGCCTATAAACCCAGCTCTGCAGAAGGCAGAGGCAGGACGCTAGTCCAAGGCTGGACCCTGGCAGATAGACTACCTGAAAAATAAACTTCAAAGTCTAAAGGGCTAGGAATGTGGCTCCGGAGTAGACCACTTCTGGAACACATCTATATAAAACTTAATCTTGCTATTAACACATGAGGAAATGGTTTCAAATTTCTGTTTAGTAGATAAGACTTTACATAATGGACTTTTCAGTCCTCAAATGTCCCTCCTCTGGCTCTTCCAATGTCTACTACCAAGCTGAGCAAGGTAGCATACACCTGCGACCACAGCTACTAGGAGGGAAAAAAGATTAGGTAGGACAGTGGCAAATTCAAGGCCAACCAGGGGAATGTAACAGGTAATTATCTCAAAGTAAACAATTGCCTAGGGGCATTGCTCAGAGCATGCTCAGTTCAGTATCACTAAAAAACAAACAAAATAAAAGTTTGCTACCTACCAAATGCAAATACAAAATTGTAATGAACTGGTTTTTTTGGTCAGTTGTGGGTTTGAACTCTGGGCCTAGGCACTGTCCCTCAGCTCTTCAGCTCAAGGCTAGCGCAGGGCCAGTGTGGGCAGGAAACTCCATGAGACTCTTCAATAAATCGCTCAGAAAAAAACCCGAAAGTAGTGTTGTGGCTCAAGTGGTAGAGTGCTCTCCTTGAGCAGAAGAGCACAGGGACAGTCCCTAAGCCCAGAGTTCAAGCCCCATGACCGACAAAAAAAGAAAAAGAAAACAAGCTAGCAAATGAAAAAAAGCAGTGTCATTCTCTTTTTTAGATCACTGTTTATGGAGAAGTGTCTGTAGACAAAAAAAAAAAGGAATTCAATGAAATCCATCCACACATTGAAAAAAGCAAAACAGCCCTAAAAACAAAGATTGTTAATTATCACTGAGAATTTTATGGTGAAATTTTTCTTAATAAAGATTTTACGAAGTAAACTTTTCATTTGACCAAATAGCCAATCATTTTCAAGTTCGTAATTTCTCAGCAAAACATTTAACCAGACAGTACCAATGGTCACATCTGCAATCCTAATTACTCCGGAGGCTGAGATCTAAGGATCATAGTTCAAAGCCAGCCCAGGCATGAACGCTTGAGAGACTCATCTCCAATTAACCACTAAAACCCTGGAAGTGAAAGCTGTGGCTCCAGTGGCAGAGCACTAGCCTTGAGCGAAAAAGATTAGAGAGAGTAGATAGGCCCTAACCCTCAATTCAAGACACAAGACCAGCATGTATGTGTACACACATACACCATTTAACCTACCTTCTCTTTAACACTTCTACAAACAGCCTTCTATCACTCATAAAGAAAAAACTGTACAAGATTCTTTTTCTTGGTGATACTGGAATTTGAACTCAGGTATTTGTGCTTGCTAGGTAGGTATTCTACCACCTGAGCTACACCGATAGTCCCCTTTTGGCTTTTTTTTTCAGACAGAGGCTCAGTTTCTTATGTATATGAGGTAGCAGGAAACAAGTTTAGATTTAAAGCCTCCTACCTACTATTGATCCCAAAGTCCCCAAATCACGCTTTCATTTTTCATGTTTCTATAATCTTTTCCCAAGCCTACCAATGTCCTTTAAATGACAAGAGCACAATGTATGTGGCACCTGGGAACCAAAGGTTTGGGTCTCAAACCTTATGTCCTACCTAACTAAAACTAACAATGTAGAGATAGGAGTTACCTCATTTTGATGGTGCCCAGCAGCGATGAAAGGCGGGGCAGCATGCTCTAGCCAGATTGGTGCTCCTCCGTGGACTATCTGCTCTCGCAGCCACACCAGACTGATGAATGCACACAGTGTGCATGTTACCACAAAACAACCCTGCAAACAATCCGCCAACAGATTTTCCCTATTTAAAAAAACACAAAGAACACTTTGGAAAACGGCCAGAAAAAGAAACTACAATTTTTAGGGTAAAAATCAGTTTCTCTAAAAGAAGTATTTATAATGATGATGTTATCTTATAAACTGGCTAACACACATATTACAAATATGTTTTAAAAGCAATAAACTAGCCTTTGCCTCTCATTTTACTTATTTTTTTGCCAATCCTGGGTGCTGTTTCTGAGCCTCTTTGTGCTCAAGGCTAGTGCTCTACCACTTGAGCCACAGTACCACTTCTGGCTTTTTCTGAGTAGTTTATTGGAGATATGAGTCTCTCAGATTTTCTTCCCTGGTCTGGCTTTGAACCTTGATGCTCAGATCGCAGCTTCCTGAGTAGCTAGGATTACAAATGTGAGCCACCAGCACCCAACTACCTCTCCTTTTAATATGGCTAAAATCCAAGAGGACGGCAAGCACAAAGCTGACAAATACTCAACAACAGCCAAGCATTAAATTTTATATAATCTATTAAACATGAATAGCCTTGTCCAAATCCTTACAAAGAAGTTTCTGATCCTTATTTGACATACAAGTTTAGCTGATACCCAACTCCACACAAACTAACAGAATCATCAAATCAGAAAAGCAGAAATTTCTTCTACAGATAGACTAATTGATAATGTAAAAAAAAATAAAAATCAAGAGATACTCAATATACTAGATATAAGGCAAAGAAATCTGTAATATATTGTGCAGAAAATTTTCATTTAGGAAAAGAAGAATCAAGTGTTGATTCTTTTTTGGTAGATGGTGGGGCTTGAACTCTGGGCTTGGGCACGGTCCCTGCACTCTTCAGCTCAAGGCAAGCGCTCTACCGCTTGAGCCACAGGGCCACTTCCGGTTTTTGAGTGGTTTATTGGAGATAAGACTCTCACTGACTTTCCTGCCCAGGCTGGCTTTGAACCAGATCCTCAGATCTCAGCCTCCGGAGTAGCTAGGATTACAGGCATGAGCCACTGGCGCCTGACTTCAAGTGTTGATTCTAATGAAACATGTATCACAAGTATATCACGTCCTCAGTAAGTCCAAGGAGGCAAAGTAGGGTCCCTTTAGGTCCCTGGAAATACACGGAATTTTTTTTGTAATACTGAAGATCCCTTTGGTCTTTTCCTGTCCTTCAGTATAACTCAAGGGTAATTGGGTAACCTTGGTAGCCTTTGGGAAACTTACTACTTTCATGTAGTAACAAGGGTCAGCCTGGAAGACCTCATGCTAGAAGCTGCAAACTTGAACTGGGATTGTTCCTAAGAAAGCAGGTCTATAGTATCTCTTAGATCAAAAGAGAAATAGTAACCATTGCTTGTTAAGGAATTTTTCAAACTATTAAAATTTTGATGGACTGGGACTAAAATATTCTGTTTCTTGTTGCCTTCAGCAATGAGAACAGTTAACTGCTTCTTACAGATTTTATTATTAAGTAGCTATACTAAGGGATTACAATTCTGCAAATCAGGTTCTGAGTACAATGAGTACAACGTTTCTGCTCAATCTCTCCCCTTCCTTCTTTTTCTCCCATTTTTCCCCTCCTGTCCTCCTCACTGATCTCTGATCAATGACAATAAGCCCAATGACATGAATGTCAAATTGAATATACAGTAAAATAATCATAGGTAAGTCTTTATTCATATACACCATAACCATATGAAGGAACTTTTTTTTTTAAGTCACAGGGCTTGAACTCTGGGCCTGGGCACTGTCCCTCAGCTCTTCAGCTCAAGGTGAGCACTCTACTACTTGAGCTACAGCGCCACTTACGGTTTTCTGGTAGTTTTTATTGGAGATAAGAGTTTCAAGGACTTTCCTGCCTGGGCTGGCTTTGAACCATAATCCTCAGATCTTAGCCTCCTGAGTAGGTAGTATTACAGGTGTGAGCATTAATGTTAGCATGAGAACGTACTAGCATATACCTCAATCTGCATGATATTCTGCTTAACAAGTCATCTTGCCATTACCAAAAGATCTTTTAAAATGAGTGTTTGAAAAGAAAGATCAGGGGCTGGGAAGGTGGCTTAGTGGTAGAGCGCTTGCCTTGCATGCCTGAGGCCCTGGGTTCGATTCCTCAGCACCACATAAGCAAAAAGAAAAAAGCCGGAAGTGGCTCTGTGGCTCAAGTGGTAGAGCGCTAGCCTTGAGCTGAGGGACAGTGCCCAGGCCCAGAGTTCAGGCCCCATGACCGGACCCAAAAAAAAAAAAAGAAAAAGAAAAGAAAGATTAGTTATTTATATCAGCTACTTCTATGGTTATAATTCTTAGAACAAACGAATTTTCAAATTTATAAGTATACAAAGAAAACAAAAGTATCATTATTTACACTGTGCACAGGTTCAATACTCACGTTGACAACATGTCTAGTGGCAGTGTCAGTAGTGAGCTCACGGAGCCAGTAAACAAGCACTTGTAGATGCGGCCTACCAAAAGAGGGCATAATGGTATACAGTCACAACAGCATAATGAACTCATCCAGTTGCTTCAAAAGAATAATCTAACACTGAAATAAGCATTTGGTTTTTGCAGGCCTGAGTTTCAAGACAATTCATTTTAAAAAGCATGGACAAGCATAAAAGCAGTGACTGAAGATAAGTGCTCTGCAACGATGTTTAGATTCTTTCTAGGCTTGTGTTTGACTCATCTATTGGCTTCAGAGTGGCATATTGGTCTTCCATTATGACTGAATACTTTTCTTTCTCTTTTGCTTTTATTTCCTTCCCTCTGCATTCTCTTGCTTTCTTCTCTTTGATTGGAAACCTTGCCCCCTTTTTTGAGACAGTCTTGCTATGTAGCCAAGGCTAGCCTCAAACTAAAGACCTCCTGCCTTAGCTTTCCAAATGCTGGTATATTCCAGGAGAAATCTACCATGTCCAGCCTAAATAGCAAAGTTTATTTGCTGTTTCTCACTCTAAAATAAAAACTAATCATCTTATTTCTATTCTAGCAGTACCCTATGTGTTGTTACTGTTTAAGATATATTTTACATTAATCTTAAGTAGCCAGACACATTCTTTATTTTTTGGTGCCGTTCCAGGGGCCTGATCTTAGGGCCCGGCTGCTGTTCTTAAGCTTCTTTGCTCAAGGAAAAGTGCTCTACTACTTGAGTCCGCTACTCCACTTCTGGCTTTTTGGCACTTAACTGGATAAAAGAGTCTCACAGACTTTCCTTTCCATGCTGGCTTTGAACTGTGATCCTCAGATCTCAGCCTCCTAAATAGCTAGGATTATAGGAATGAACCAGCACCCAGCTTCCAAATGAATTCTTACACATGGGTCTATCTTTTTAACTACCATCTGGAACAAGATCTTCAACATTTCTAGCTACCCAGAAGGCTCCCTCAAAATTAAAGCAACTATAACATCTCTATTTCTCTATTTCTATCTCTATTTCTCCATTTCTATTCTCCTTAAAATTTCTCCCATGTTAAGATCACCTGAAATTTAGTTCCAGGCTGTTACCTAAAATGATTAGTTAGTATTGATTAACAATAATGAAGCTTACCTATTCTTTTTCCTAGCAGTCTTTTTTCTGTGAATCTCACATATTTCTTGGATTCCTTGTTCAAGTTGCAAAGTATAGGTTAAAACAGGGTTTTCATTATGGTAGAATGGTAGCTTATAGTAGTACACTTTCTGAAGCCTTACATCTAATGAAATATCTATCACCAGCGCACCCTGTCTCACTCTGCAACTAAGTTTCTAAGTCCTTTTTCTTTCTCATGGCCAGGTTTTTGTCTTTCAACATAAAGACATCATTTCCATTGTTTCTTTTTACATTATAGAACTATGAATTTGCTAAAGTCACTAGAACAACTGGATTTAGCCTCTCAATTTTAGCCAACACTTTCTTCAATTTTAACACAGTACATGAAATTTCAAATGTAATTTAGATCTTTGCACATCCGTGTAAAATGTAGTTCAACACATCCCAAAGAAAAATTGTCATGATTTTTGAAAAATATGCTTTTAAAGGGTTCTAATGGGCAGGGCATAGTTGATCACACCTGTTAATTCCCATACTTGATAAGTAGAAAGTGGGAGGCCTCAATTGGGGATCAAGAGCGAGCTTAGGGGAAAAAAATCACTGAAATCCCACCTCAACAAATGAGTGAGCATGGCGATTTATACCCTCTATCCTAGCTATGCAGGAGGCATACACAGGAGGATTGAGGTTGCCACTGAAAGTTCAAGAACATATTTGAAAATTTACCACTTTTGGTTATGATAAAAATCACTGCTGGCCAGGCTAATCCTAGCTGAGATCTGATCAGGGTTTGAAGCCTGGGCAGGAAAGTCCATGAGGCTCTTATCTCCAATGAACCACCAGAAAACCAGAAGTGGCACTGTGGCTCAAAGTGGTAGAGCACTACCACTGAGCAAGAGATCAAGGACAATGCCCACGCTCTTAGTTCAAGCCCCACAACCAACACCCCCTCCCAAAAATGAAAAACAAAGAAAAAAGGAATTGCCCCTTTGAATAATATCAGAGACCCAGGCTCAGTTTTCTGCCTCCCTACTGACTCTCTTCAAAGGTACTAATACTGCTATTTTGTGTATTTCTCAAGATTTTCATTTCATGGGTGATCAAGCTAGTTTTACCCATGGAGACATGAAAATATTAATTATGCTTATTTTAGGAAACTTGTTTTAATTCCAACAGATTATATCTATATACCATGTCATTCATTATGATATCTACTCCTTTCCATTTCTTTAAGAAAAATAAACACAAGATAAATCACCTAAGAGGCATGGTTAAGTTACACCACCGCTCAGAGAGCCCCCTATACCTGAAAGCTAAATCTCCTGGTTATTCAGGACCATTATACATGTAATGTAAAAGGGAGGTAGAGCTGGGATGAGAAAATCTCCGGAAAATTCATTTATTAGACAACTTATAAGCACCAATGTAGTTTATAGTTTGATTTTGTTTTCTCAATTCTTTCATGAACTTTTATTAGTAGTCTCCGCACATTTTATTTTTCTTTCTCACACTCATTCAAAAACAGATCTACTTAAAACTTACTCCTGGGACATAGCTCAGTGGTAGAGTGCATGTTTAGCATGTGTGAGGCCCTGTATTCAATCTCCAATATCCTCCATCATAGAAAAAAATATAATTAAAAATAGTTTAAACAATGAAGCAATATTTTTGTAATAAACTCCGACAGGAGGCATGAGTACTCACATGCTGTAAGAGGAACAACTCCCAGCCATGCAAAGGCAACAAGTGTATAATGAAACCAGTAGCGTATTGCAGTGCCAATGCTTGTAACCAGTCCAGCAAATATATCTTGGATTGGAAGCCGTGAAGGCATATCTGGAGAATAAACTATAAGAAGAGAAATGCATACACAATTTCATAAAGACTTAAAAATGGTTTAATTCAGAACTACAAAATAGGCATATAAAGCTATCTGAACTTTCAATATTTAGCTTTTAAGTACTGCGCTTTTCACATTTTCTCAAGAAAATCAATAAAAAGCTCTAAACTAAAAAACAAAAAACAAGATTCAACTGGAAAAGGTTCACATCCCTTGCCCATAGCCATGAAACTTGTACAATGTTTAAATGCCTTTCAGCATTCAGACAATAAGGTATCTGGCTTCCTGTGCTATAAAAGAACAGGTAAAGAAAATAGATACGAAAGCTGAAGCTGATGACATCAAGAAAGAGCTCCCCCAAATACAAGCATTAGAAACAACATTCAAAGAGTACAACAATCCACAGTTAAGTCCTTACATGTGGTACAACAGCCCACTGATATGCTAGCAAACTCTTCCTCTCATTGTATTTAACATTGTACTTAAAATTTCAAATGACAAATTCAAACCTTATCATTTATCTGAAGATGTAGTTCAATACACACGGGGAGAAAGGTTTTGCTACATTTTAGAAAGTGATTCCAGAGGTTGAGAATGTGGCTTAGTGGTAGAGTGCTTGCCTAGCATGCATGAACCCCTAGGTTTGATTCCTCAGTACCTCATAAACAGAAAGGGCCAGAAGTGGCACTGTGGTTCAAGTAGTAGTGCTAACCTAGAGCAAAAGAAGAGCTCAGGAACAGTGCGCCCAGGCCCTAAGTTCAATCCCCAGGACTGGCCAAAAAAAAAAAAAAAAAGGCTGCAGTAACACCCCGCCCCCCACTATTTAAAAGGTTCCTCTCTAAATAACGCAGGAAAAACAAATTCCTTTTTCTACAGTGAGGCCACACAAGAAATGACAATGTGTAAAGTTCAAAATCAATTATGCAAAATTTCTAAGACCGAGCTGGGTATATAGCTCAGAGTCAGAGCACTTGCTTAACTTGTAAATGGCCCTGGTTGGGTCTGATTTCTAGCAGCAGAAAATAAACTTAAGTAGTAAATATAAAATGTATAAGAGCACTATATATACAAAGCTGTTCACCTTTTAGAAACATTAAGAAGTAAACAATCAACAAATGGCAACTTTTTATGAACTGCATAGATCACAACTTTCAGTAAAATACTTAGTATTAAAAAGTCATGCCAGGTGCCAGTGGCTCCCGCCTGTAACCCTAGCTACTCAGGAGGCTGAGATCTGAGGGTGAAAGCCAGCCAGGGCAAAAAAGTCCCCACGAGATTTTTATCTAAAATAAACTACTCAGAAAAACAGGAAATGATGCTGTGGCTCAAGTGGTAGAACGCTAGCCTTGAGCACAAAGAACAAAGAAGCTCAAGATCAGCACCCAGGTCCTGTGTTCAAGCCCCAGGACAAGCAAAAAAAAAAAAAAAGTCATTAAGACAGGTGGCTCATGTCTGTAACCCTAGCTACTCAGGAGGCTAGTATCTGAGGATCACTTTTTGAACCTAGCCAAAGCAGAAAAGTCCGTAAGATTCTCCACCCAAAAGCCAGGGGTACAGCTGTAGCTCAAATAGTAGAATGCAAGCACTGAGAAAAAAACTCAGGGACAACACCCAGGATGACCACTAACTAACTAAACAAAGCTTTTATACACTAGAGAAAACTGAAGATTACAAAACAATGTAACTGACAGTTGTTTTTTTTTTTTGGGGGG